GATGAAAAAAATTGTATGACAGTTTAAAATCTAATATATTTAAAATCCAACATATTTAAACGACTCCACAAATGTGTTCGATTTATACCAAGAGCAAATAACCAAGAAACTTGAGTTTTAATATAAACACTCAAAACCAATAAAGAAAACTACAAATTTGACACATCATAAGTCATGAAAAGATAAAAAAATATGGGTTTTACCAGAAACTCATATTAAGATTGAATTAATACATGTATATATATATATTTCAAAAAAATCCAAGAACATATTAATTCAGAACATATTATACAATGCAATTTGGACAGTCTAATCTCAAAATATATAGTATATATATAAATAAATAACTATAAAAGTATAAATCGTAAATATTAAAAATATTTGTTCACAATATATATAATATATAATAATATAATTAAGTAAAAAACTATTCAATATTGGACTCATTTCGAATGTATTAACGAGACGATTATAATGGTGTAACTTGTTAAAATAAAAATGTATTTTTTAAACATGTTTTAATTGATATACGATTATGTATATTAATTTAATAAATGTTTAAAATGAAACATTTAAAAATAAATAACGTAAAGTAAATTAATTAACTAATTATGGGGATATAAAGTGTAAATTTAAAATTATAATTTAAAAAAAAATCGGTTGTGAAATAGTAAGTGTATGTGAGGGGGTGAGTGTATGTGAGGAGAGGAAGGGATGAAAAAGTGATATAAAGGTATCTTGATCATTTAGTATTTTAAGACTTTAAGACTTTTGTTAAATTTGTTTTATAAGATGGTATAGATATAGATATGTATGTATGTATGTATATATACGTGTATTCTTATTTCTTTTCTTGTGTTAATCAATAGATCAGTGTTAGCTTCATTAATCCCAGATCAAATATATGTAATATGGTTTGGAGCTTCAACACACACACACCCACACCCCTGGTTGTGACTACTATAATATGTAACCAAAACATAAACAAATACTTTTGGGTGCACCACATATATATTACATAAAAATAAATTATATAGTTTTAACACATAACATGTAATAAAACATCGTTACACCTTTATGTTATTTTCTAAATTGCATGAGACTCAGACTCACATGTAGGATTTATGAAGTAGCTAAACCTAATACCTACACATGTATCTCAACCGAGTTACTAAACAATGACATAAACTTAATTAGATATTGAACTAAATCTAATGTTGAGATTTTACTAATATTCCATTTGGGCTGCATAATTGTTTTCAAGGGATTTGAAATTATTGGTGCATTTGGTTTGTAGGATTTGGAATGGAATTTGATTCCATTACTTATAAATAATTTATAAAGAAATCATATGTAATTATAAAAATAATTAAACTACATTTTTATTAATTGATTATTACAAACCAAGTGTTTACAACATTTTTTAAAATGTTCTTTTATACAATCTTACGTATTTATGTGAAATCCCGAGAATTTCAAAATAACATGTTTGTATGATTTCAATTCAATTAAATCTTATAGTTTCAAATTCGGACAATCCAACAAACAAACATACGAAATTAAAATATGGATCTGAAATCTAAATCTCTCCCAAATCCATTCCATTTATGCAAACCTAACAAGACCTAAGGGATTTGATCCAACATAGGAAGGAAAAGTTAATAAGCTTACAAGGCTTGTCAACACTACTGTATATAGAATTTGCTTCCATGGAGAATTTCATGAATCCATGAGGAAACTCGACTTATTTGAGTTATCGTATAAGATCTCAAATAGATAGTTAAATCCTCTAAATGAACACTACATAGCAGACCTCTATCTAATTGTTCATCAATCATCGATTTTAGTTAGCCCCTAATTGATAAGGATTTCTTTCGATATATCACACATATACGTTTTTGTTTCTTCTTTACACATATTTTTACCTTATTTATAAACATTTTTTTTTTTTTGTGAATTTTCTCTTCCGTTAGTGAGAGGGGCGAAACCTGATATAAAATGCAAACCAAGTTTGTGATAGATGAAGTTAAGGGACGTAATCCAATCTTACTTGCAAACGTAAGGGACTGAAAGCTTGATCAACTCTAAATGCGTCAAGTACAATGGGGAACCTAGCGGAAAAATCGAGAGCCGAAGGTTTAGTAGAACCCTAGCTGCCAACACGAATCATCGACGGTGAAATTATTCAAGACCAAGAATTCCCTAATGGCGATTTCAATCAAGCGTGCAGCCATATCCTTTCGCAGCATGTATCCCTTATTCCGAACAACTCGCCGGATTTCTCACTTCCCTGCCTCTCCATACTTCCTCAAAACTGCCAGTGATCCGCGTCCGGCTCTTCCTAATTCGCCGCCCATCGATTTTTTCTTCGAATCTCGTAGATGCTTCGCTAAAGCACGGAAGAAATGTAATCCTCTCTATTTCTCTTATTGTCTATACTGAATATGGAAAATAGATGTACAGACACTTACGCTGACGCATTTGAATAGAAGCTGGAGTAAGATACATTATTGAAATAAATTTTATGAAACACGAATTTGAATACATGTTTTAAGGTAATGTATACATTTTTTTTAAGGAAATGATCGTTTCACAGTATATACCCAGTGGGATGTTTGAATATGCCCCTTCCTGTTGAGCACGCACATCACTGCTTCTTGTTTTTATAGCATTTTCTTTTAATAAACTTAGAGGTTGTTTGGCTGGTTTTCCATAAGTCGCTTACAGATAAAGCTATATGTGTGGATCAATCTGTCTGTGTAGATTAAGAAAGTTTTTTCATAGACGGAATGTGTGTGTTTTTTGATTCGGAGGGACAGGTTTAAAAAATCTTGGCTTTCTTCATAAAGCTCCCCTCTAGAAGCTTACTGAATAAGCCACATTCTATATCCACTACCAAACAGCCACGATTGAGCTGTTTCCTGTATCACTAATCATGTTTATGGTTACTGCTGACCTCACATGTTATTTGGAGTTGCCTTATATCTCCAGTCTAGTGCATGAAAATCCGGCATTAGCCCAACCGACCGGTTACTTAACAAAACTTTCAGGGGATGATGATGACAACGGTGAACTTGATGTTTCTAATGGTGATGCTGCGAGCAGAATTGAGATTGTGAATATTGGGCCCATTATTAAGTCAGCCGCTGTCTCTGAGATGGAGGCAGCAATTGATGCAGTATCAAACGAGCTGGCCAAATTGCGAACTGGAAGGGCATCATCAGGTGCATATATTACTGGTTTGATGTTCCTTGATAAGTTCCTTGATTTCAACCGAAGCTTGGTCCTGGTTACCTTTCGTTTTTCTTTTTCTCAATTTCTTTGTAGGAATGCTCGACCATATCATAGTGGAAACTGGGGGTGTGAAGATGCCCTTGAACCGGATGGCCGTTGTTTCAGTTTTAGACCCGAAAACCTTGTCAGTAACTCCATATAATCCAAATGTAATAATTTCTCCCCCTGCCGAAACACCTACTGTGCATCTATGGCTTTAAGATTATTTTCACTCATGCATGATCATACGACATTGTCGTCCTTCAGTTTGCTTTTGTTGAATGGAATTTTACAAATGCAATGATCACATCCAGTGGATGTCTACTCCTCGAACAATTTGCCACAACTTGTGCATAAACCATGTGTCATATTAGATCAGTGAATGCATTTCTGCTCTGACAGTGCACTTGAATTATCCAGGCCTTGAAAGAACTAGAGAAAGCTATTGTTTCATCACCATTGGGTTTGAATCCCAAGCCTGATGGCGAACGGTTGATTGCATCTATTCCTCCGTAAGACACTAATCTGGACTCAAAACTTACTGCTCTGCTCGAGGAAATAATCTATCTTGCGGCCAACGATTGATGTCATGTTTCTTCTTTTGTGTTTATTTATGCTCTTATTATAAGCTGGAAGGGAATTACGTTTAAAGACAATGTTACCTTTCATGTTGCACAATTAGCATCTGTTAACTAGTGTTTTATTTGTATACCGGCTGATAATATTTTTTCATCTTTGCAATAAGCAGCATGACCAAAGAGCATATGCAGGTGAGATTATCACCTCTAGTGTACTAATATTTTAAAATTATTTTTAGCAATTTGCATATCATGAAGGTTTATGCTCTCTACTCCAGGCTGTGTGCAAAGTGGTAGCAAAGTCTTCTGAAGATGCCAAGCAAAGAATTAGAAGAGCCCGGCAAAAGGTATGGTCATTGAAGTGTTTTTCCTCTTAGTTTAATTTTCACTTCTTCAACTGCATGGTGAATTTTCTAGGCAGTATGGTCAGGGAACATGATCTTTGTGGTTGTGAAAGATGCTTGGAGGTTCTTAGTTGACCATCCACACAAATTAAACATTCCTTCAATGGCATAAATAGTTAAAAGATCAAAATACAGTGTGTGAATACGGCTTTCTTGATTTACTTTTCTGAAAAAGGAAAGAGAAAGACAATGTATCGATTTACCAGTGGAAAAAGATTATATTGGTGAAAAGTAGAATCTCGGTCTATAATGCAGGCCTAAGAGCATTTTCAATAGATTCTTTAAAATGGAGAAAATGGAGATTTTGGGCAAATTTTTGCTCCAACAAATTCTCCAAAATAGAGAAAGCATGAGAGAGTGTAAAATTCTCCAAATTTGGAGACCTCCCCAAAAATGATTACCATGTGAGAGAAGTAATTTTTATTATATTCCCACCAATAAGAAATCTTGATTTTAAATGTTTACGAGATAGAAGTAATTTTTACAATAGATTTTGAGTTTTGAATCTCCATTTGGGAGACATTTTGGAGAATGTGTTAATTTAATTAACAAAGAACAAGCACGAGCTTCCCGCTACACCGGTGCAGTGTAGTATCAGAACTCAGAAGTTTCTCTAGTGCAGTAGCAATATATTTATAATGAAGTTGTAGATTTGTGCATTGCTGCAACTATTGTGCTTTGTCATCAGGTGCAACCACAATCTTTCTTGAGCCATATTGATTGTATGGGATATTTCAAATTATACGTTCTCTTATGTTTTTTGATGGGAAGATGATGCACGTTGGTTGCTAAAAATTAGCCATGTAATTAGAAGCATCGTATTTTTCTTGCACAGGCTTTGGACACGATTAAGAAATCGGTGCCCAAAAAATCAGAAGGGAAGGATAAAGGGAAGAGCAAAGCTAAAGTGGTTTCAGGGTTCTCAGCAGATGATGCAAAAAGATTGGAAAAAGAAGTAATAGCAGATAAAAACATGTACCATTACATTAGTAATACTAGTTGCAAAGCTGTATTGTTGCGTTTGTTCTTATTGTTGTCGATTTTCGCAGGTTGAGGAGTTGACGAAAAAGTTTAGCAAGTCGGCAGAAGATATATGCAAAGCGAAGGAAAAGGAAATCACTTCAAGCTGACATAAATGAATCCTGATTGTGGATATGTATCATGATAACATTATTGGATTAGGATGTCTGAAAGAGCCTTCCTTTTTTCTTCTTCTTAGATAAACGTTAATGGTGTTTTCATTTTATAAAGCATGGGTATGGTGAATGGTGATGCGCTTCATATAATCCATTGGCATGTATTATGTTTCTGTTTGTGTTTGTGTTTGTGTTCATGATTTGAGGTGATATTTTGAGTTTTATGTACTGATATTAGTTGATTGGATTTAGTTATGTTTATTTGGGGGCGTTAAAGTGTGACAAATGAAATTAAAAGCAAACATAACTAACTTATGTTTCATTTAGATTTAACTTTAGTTTGCCGGTATGGTTATCCATCCATCGTAGTTCTTACACTTTTTTTTTTTTTTTTGTTTTAAATCTTATGGCGATTACAAAATTTAATTTTGGTTCAAGTCTTGTAGTATTAACAATGCACAACAAATGCAATACAAGAATAAGAATAAAAGTTGTTAAGGTGAGAAAATATCTGATATTTTTAATGTCATTAGTATTATCTTACTACAAATTCAGTAGGGTTGATTGGGTTGGGTTTCCTTAAAATAAATATATATAGCCCATGGAATGTTTATGGCCCTACCCATGGTCACTCTCGACCCGACCCGACCCGACCGAATAGATCAAATACCAGGTGACTTCGTTTCCAGAGAAACCAGACTCACAACAATGGCTTCACCAACTACAGATGATAATCAAAGTTAGGGTTCTTTTAATTTCCTTTTCACATTTGCAACTACGATTCTATTGCTTATGTATGCGACTTTGCATTTTTTACAGTACCTGCTAGGAGAGTTGCGGTTGTTGGTGCTGGTGTCAGGTGTGCTAAATTACCAGATTTATCTTGCTCCTTTTCTATGTTAATGGAAAAATAAAATACTATATTTAGTTTTTGTGTTGCTGTTTCTACTAAATAAATTCAAGTCGCAATTCTATACCACTGTAATGATTTGTTGAGAAAACGAAAGTATTACTGAAATTGAAAGAGTAATGGCGTCGTAGACAAATGAAGTCAAGTATATGCTTACACTAATCCGCGTACTAGAGCATGTGTTCTATTTTTGACAATACTTCTAATTCAAGCGTCACCTAGGTACTCTATTTGGTTTTCTTATGAGAAAAAGTTATTTGGCTTAACTGAAACTATTATGCATCAATTAGGTATTACAATTTGTGCAGTGGATTTAGGAATTTATAGCAATTAATATCATTTAGGAATTATCATACTCTAACATATAGGGAAAGCCATTTCACAAATCATAATTACTAGTTTTTCTTAACAGTGTACGTATCTTTGTTGCAAGACGAATCCAGCATGATGAATGCTTTTCTTTTCCTTTTTCGTTTCTATTATCAACATATGATCAAAACTTTTAGTTTACTTGAATTAGTAGAATATATGCAGACCATGTATAGAAGAATATTGGACTCTTTCACAAAGTTTGCTTATTCATATCAAATTCTTCTTTTTCTTCCTTTACAAATGTCAAGTTTTCTATAGGTTCTAAAATAAACATTTTACTTTATTGAATACACAAATTTTATCGATAAATTTCATGAGGTTTCAAAAGGCTTTTCTTATATATATGGTTATCTACAAAACATCTTGTATTTGTTTGTATAAATATAGGCAGAGTTACGTTGTGTAGGTCACTCATGGTTTTGTACTCTTTTTTACGAATAGTTTCAGGACAAGTATTTAATTAAAAACACATATACTTAAAAGGGTTTTCTCAACCTTAAAACCGTGATTTTTCTTACATTTTTTCTAGGCACCTCCAAGATAGATTTTCTGGCTACACCCCTGTTTGGGACACACAAAATGTTTTTGGTTTTGGGGCAGTTGGAGTTTTGTTGGGTTTGAATTAATTATATTTAGAATTTTTGGTTTTGAATTAATTCTATTAGAGTTCTGTCTTCAGGTTGTTTTTTTTTTCAATTGAATATTTAACTTGTTTGAATTTCACTCCAGAAATAAAGAATGAACCCTGCACCACAATTTTACATTTTGAAATTTGCAGAAAAATGGATAATTTGATCCAAAATCGACATGATGATTGATGTTTAGAGGAATCACCTTATTTTGAAAGTCACGAGCTAACAAGTTTACTTCTTTTTTTTTTCAGTGGACTTGCTGCTGCCTATAAGTTAAAAGTGCATGGAATGAACGTGACTGTATTTGAAACTGATGGTAGAGCTGGAGGAAAACTAAGAAGCATTTCACAGGATGGTCTAATATGGGACGAGGGTGCCAATACTATGGTTTGTCTTAGCTTAATATCAATCTGAGTGTCCCGTTACGAGTAACATTATTAGCAATTGTGGTGATGCTTATCATACATTTTACCTTGTACAGACTGAGAGTGAGGCAGACGTCAGCAGTTTGCTTGATAATCTTGGGCTTCGAGATCAACAACAGTTTGTAAGTGAATGTGTTTGACATAGTAGGCATGCATCCCATATCTTGCGTGGTGTCCTTTGTTTGGAACTTCTGCAATTGTTATGTAAATCGTACAAGGAAGGGGGAGTTGTTTTATTTTAATCAATTTTTGATGCTACATTGATTGTTTGTTATAAATTATAATCACTATTTCCTTTGTACATTGAGGTCATGAGTGTATACCTTTACGGTGGCTGAGCCCTACAATATATTTCTTGTTGCAGCCAATTTCACAGCACAAGCGGTATATTGTGAGAAATGGAAAACCTGTTCTGGTATGCAAATCTCAACTCCTATACTTAACTGCTAATTATCTATTATATATGAAGATGCATTTGGCAACATTGTTGCTTTCTTTGGAAAAAGAAGGTGAAATTTAAAGTCAAAGGTAGAACTTGTGTTTTAATGGGTTTGAAAGGCCAACCTCATTAAAGCCACATAGTAACAGGTATTTTTTTGGAAACTAGTCTTGTAAACTATGAAAACATCAAAATACAAGTTTACATACATATAAGTGCCATTTACAAAATTTTGTAAAATTTTAATTTTTTTAGAACGTGAATGTTTTTCAAACACCATTTATGTCCAATTTTCACTTTCTTAAAATTATAAATGCAATAATAGAAAACAACATGATTGCCAAATTAGGTTTTATACTTCTTGAGTCTATATCTTTCTTTATTGATCATGACTTGGCCAAACTCGTGATTGCAGATACCTTCTAATCCAATTGCACTGATCAGAAGCAGTTTTCTTTCCCCACAATCAAAGGTGTGTTAGCAGCTCCTGGATGCTCAAAGGTTGAATGCATAAAGCATGTTAGATCTTATTCTGATCCTTCATTCTCATAATATCTTCTTTACGGTGCACAGTGTTAAGACTTATAGAGAACTCTTTATTCTATTTTGCTTTTATAAATAAGTGATGTATTTTCTTTGTAACTGTTGTTTAAAACGCCTACATCACATGTGATAGTGTCCAAAAGAAAATCACAGTCATATATTAACACAAAGACAACAAAAACCATTTTTTCTATTTAAATATAAGACGTTCTCAAACTTTAATATTATTTACTAAGGACCCCTTTTGTGTGAGGGATTGAAACTGCATTCATAGCAATCAAACCTGAATCAGGCAACTAAAATACAATTTACCTAACATGTGAACCTTGTTGCCTTGTCCAAAAGTTTTATTGTTCTGCAATTTGAATGTCAAAAAGAAGTAATGATCTGGAAACATGGTTAAGCATTCACAACATATAGAAATAAAATCAGGGAGATGAAACCTTGGTGGAGCGTGGAACTTTGCTACGGTGCAAGGACTATGCTGGTAATTCTGTTCTTGCTTTTCGATGATTTCTTAACTGTTAATCATGAACTATAAAACAAGTTTTGCTTTCATAAGCTATACAACCCATACCATCATGTATTTGCAACATACATCCTTAATAAGCTGAAATATGTATAAATAAAACCAATCGTACTTGGTATATCCTACTTGGAAAGGGTAGGATGTATGCAAACCTTACCTCTACCCCTAGAAGTAGAGAAGCTGTTTCTGTGAAGAGTGAAGACCCCCGCCTAATAAGCTAAAATATGTATCCTGTCCTATAAAAAGTGTTCGAACATCAACATGACAGGGGTACTTTACATCGAGACCCAACACCCGTTTGGCGTATGAAAACCCACCGGCCCAGTAACTCTGCCTCTGATACAGAGATGCGGCTTGCGAACTTGTCATTTAGTAATATAGACGTGTTCACAAAAGGGTAATTGACCCAACAGTACCAGGTTACCTTTAGATTCCTATCTTCATGGAGGTAAGGGTTCAAGTCTCACCAAAAGGCGAGGAGTGTGCGAGTTTTGTTGTATATAATGAATATACTCGAAATACGTACATAAATGTTATTTAAAGTTTGTCTCACTTAACCCCCAGGGTCTTTTAAGTTGGTGGTAGAAGTTGTGATTACAATGCATTGTTCGGTTGGTTTACAAAATGTGCAGTTTCAAATTCTTTGGGAGCCATTTTTATGGAAGAAGAACTCATCCGAGACACAAGAAAGGTAATATGCATAGCCTTGTGCCATTTCATCCGCTTAAAGTAATGTTTCCTATATGCCATTAGGTTCTTAATATTTTCTGTTGCAGTGTCGGAGGATTCTTTCAACGTCATTTTGGAAAGGAGGTATTTTGTAGATTGTATTCCTTTCCCTAAATCCATTTCTTCCCTTACATACTGTTCTGTTATTTTTTCTGATTCTGAAAAAAAATCAAGTTTTTATTTCTGTGGTACTTGGTTAAAAAGTTCTTCATCTTTTCTATTTGTCTTGGTTATTAATTTTAATGTACTTTGTAAGGTTGTTGAGTATCTCATTGACCCTGTTGTTGCGGGAACAAGCGGTAGTGATCCTGAATCACTTTCTGTGAGTAACTCCTCCAGATCCCTGCTGCATTACTTTTTCTGAGGAAATATAATTAACTGCTTTTGGTACACAACACAAAACCCCAACACATGTAGAGGTGCAAGTGGATTCTTTTACTAACCCTGCCGTCTCTCGTCTTGAACTTGCTTAGTGCTTTGCTTGAATTCCTTTACTTCATTCCTTTGTCCACACAGATGCGTCATGCATTTCCTGAGTTATGGGATTTAGAGAGAAGGTATGTATGTAATGTAACTGAGAACTGTAATTCATTCTTCAAATGACCTTCTCCATTGTTGTTTCTTAATATCTTTGTGTGCAATGTATTAGGATTTTACATCAAAATAATTCTTATCCTTGGACTATTGAATCCCCTCTGAGAAGGGGATATCTTAAATTGATTGAAGTCATGTACTCCTGTGGAATAACAACTCTCGACAAGCCTACGCGCTTCTTTCTGCTAAGATTATCATCGGTTGAATAATCACAACTATTTACACTCAGGTATGGTTCAGTCATTTCCGGGGCAATTCAGTCTATGTTATCTTCAAAAGGTGGGAAGAAGAGTCCTCCAGGAAACCGCAAGCGTAGGCGTGGTTCCTTTTCATTTTTTGGTGGAATGCAGGTAAGATGTTCGATTTTCATCTGTTAATAGAAGTGATGTACATGTTATGAAGGTGATCTCACATTTAAATCAGCTATTAGCGCAATATCTTTACAAATATTTCTGACAAAACAAAGTGATTTTCAGCAGTTGCCATGCTGTCTTTATTCTTGAAAAACGAAGTAGTGGCAATATTTCTTGTGAGCATCAATAAAAATTTATAACTAAATTCTGAACTGACTTGTGATTAGCCTTTGCATTGTCACTTTTAGCACCTTTAATATCACTGTCATATGTAAAAGCATTTTGCAGCATGTTGCTTATGCTGTAAACTATCCTATCACTGCCATGTATATTTATGCAGCATGTTGCTCATGCTATAAAACATCTCATATAGTTTCTACTTCTCAAGAAAGAGATGGTTCTTGGCATTTCTTGGCTTTTTGGAGAGTGACCTGTTTATATAGAGAAGATTCTGTAGGTATAGATAGTAAACATTTAGATCTGTTCCGGATTATATTTTTATTTTAAAATTAATTATGGAAAGCTGATTTATTCTTTGAAGCAGAGATATATAAACAATTGATATTTTGTGAATTCTTTATTCTTTTGCAGACACTCACCAATGCACTATGCAAAGAGTTTGGACAGCATGAACTTAATCTCCAATCGAAAGTGCTTGAAATGTCCTATAGCTGTAGCGATAACTCTGCAATTGGGAACTGGTCGATTTTTTGTGCTCCGGTTCAGAACAAACAATTAAATCAGCAACCTTTTGATGCTGTAATCATGACAGTGAGTACATTCATTGCAGAATCTTTTACAGCAATGACATAAACTTGGTTAATTTGTTGCATTCTAGATAGTTTATTTCAGTAACTTTGTTCCATACTCTCTTGGTGGAATGTGGATCTATCAAACCTGTGGAGTAGATATGGGATTGTATTCCCACATTCAGACATTTGGAGAGACGTACACTGGATATTTTAATTCTTGAGTATACTTCAGCTTGCTCTGATGCTTATTTTAACTTACAAAGAACATGCTCCTAAATTAGGCTCCACTTGGCAATGTAAAAGAAATGAAGATTACAAAGAGAGGAAGTCCGTTTCTGCTCAATTTTATACCAGAGGTATGTTATTCTACTGTTCTACTTCTCTCCTTATATGGAAGTCATATGGAAACATTCATTTTAGTTTTTTGTCAAAAAATTAACAGTCAAATAATCTTTACCAAGGAGGAAAAAAAATATTTTTAACACGTGGAATATGTTTATCCAGTCATCCACCTCATCCATGAAAGAAGTGAAAATTTTGAAGTGGTCATTCATAGCTTTTGGTTTTTGTAATGCAGGTGAGTTATATGCCAGTTTCGGTCATAATCTCCACATTCAAGAAGGAGAACGTGAAGCGGCCCCTTGAAGGGTTTGGAGTTCTTGTTCCTGCGAAGGAGCAGGAAAATGGTTTGAAGACACTAGGTAAAGCCTGACTGTAGCCTCTATACTGTGTTTATTGAACTGTAATATGATCTGAACATTCTGGTATGCAGGCACTCTCTTCTCTTCTATGATGTTTCCAGATCGTTGCCACAAAGACTTGTACCTTTATACGACCTTTGTTGGGGGGAGTCGAAACAAAGAACTGGCAAAAGCTTCGAGGTAAGCTTCCTCAGTAGAGTGGTTCTGCCTCTTTTTCCATTTTTCTTTAAACTTGCTTCGGGTGTCCCATTAAAGTTGTAAGATGAACTTATAAGGAAGTTTGACCATTAGTTAAATATCTTGGGAATCAAAATGTGTAACATCAATCTTTTTGTAATGCTGATATAAGAAATGCTGGAATAGATGGGAGAATGGTGGGATTTGTATTGGAGAGATGTTGTATAAGTGAAGCATATTTGTTGCAATAATATATGTATATTAATAGGGAGGAGTTGAAAGAGATAGTAACATGTGACCTCAGACAGCTGCTTGGAGCAGAGGGGGAACCACATATGTTGACGTAAGCTCATGACACTGCCAACACTGGTTTAGTTTACATGTATTCTTTGAAATGAATGAGAAACAAAGGCGGGTATTGTAAATTGCAGTCACTATTACTGGAGCAAGGCATTTCCGTTGTATGGGCGGGATTATGATTCAGTTGTAGAAGCAATTGAGAAGATGGAAAAAGAGCTACCTGGATACTTTTATGCAGGTAATTATAATGAATGAATGAATATGAATATGAATATGAATATGATTATGATTATGATTTATGATTTATGAATGATGATTCCGAATAAAAGAGAGGAGATTAGATGGGTTGATGAATAAGGATGAATGTATCAGGTAATCACAAAGGAGGGATCTCTGTGGGGAAAGCAATATCCTCAGGATGCAAAGCGGCTGAATCTGTGATTTCGTATCTGGATTCTCATTCGAAGGTAAGTCCTGTCTGTTAAAACAAATGATAATGGAAAAGGTTGTTATTCATACATCCACATCCACATTCACTTGGATGAAAATGTGGGAGCATGGTCCAAGGATTTGACTTAGACTTTTGCTTTATCTTTATCTTTTTCTTGTGTTTGAAGGTGGAAGGAGGAGGAGGAGGAGGAGAGGAGATTTAAGAGTTAAAAAAGGTTGTAGTATTAGTATAATAGAGCAATGAGAAGAAGGTTTTGATGATATTTTATTAGCTTTACATATTGATTGGTGTAATAATAAAAATTGTGGTTAAAGAAAATGTAATGATGATTGGGGTGGGGCCACATGACAAAGATTGTCTTTTGGGAAGGCTGATGGCTGATGCCTGATGCTGATGCTGATGCTGTCTTTCATGGGAGTTTGTATCCTCCCCTACTTCAACTTTAACTTTTGTTCCTTTTTGGTCTCTTCTTTGTTACATCTCATCTTGTACTTGAAGATAATATATAAACATTTTTACATTTCCAGAAGCTTCTTAAAAAACAATTATACAATTCTAATGAAATATCTTGAATTAAGGAGTTTTATTAAATAAACTAAACATAAATCAATATTAAATGAAATCGTGTCCATTGGATTTGGGACCACTACTCAAAAATCACTATCTTATTTATGCTTTCTCGTCAAAGGATATTAATCGGAACTTTGATAATTTATATTTATTATTTTTTAATGATTAGGAAGACTCCTTAATTTTATATATTAATTTTGTTTATATATATATATATATATATATATAATTTTAATGTATGCAAGAAAAGAAAAGAAAAGAAAAGAAAAAGTAGAATAGTTTATGCAAATAAATAACAACAATCTATGCACAATTTGATAAAAATCCACTAAAAGCGTCCATATTCACGAATATGTGAATTTTTTACAATGAATAAAAACATGCATTTACAAATTCATAATGAATAAAAACATTATGAAATATTGTTTTTTCAATGCGTGTCTTATCTTTTAACTACATATAAATAAAACTGTTAGCTTGTTCAATTCCCGTGTTTAAAGGTAATGCGAGGAGACCCCTACCAGTACCAACTTAACCCCTCCTTCCATTTCTTCTTTCCTTCATCATCCTCCCCATCACTTTAAATGAATCAATCAAACCATTTTCTTCTTAATATTCTTTTTCATCTTCCACTAAATGCTTTTGCATCCAACTACCCCTCCCTTACTTCCATTTTCTTCCTTTTCTCATTGAACATACCAACCACCGCTCAATAAATCCTCCCTTCACTTCTTTACCTTTTGCAGGTTTTTCTGGACTCTCATGCTAACTTCAACTTCAAAACTTCTTGGCTTTATGTTCTTAGCCTCATCTTGATCCACTTTCAAGATTCTTGAATAGCTTCTGTTAGTTTCTTGTTCAAAGCTAATGAAATGAGGCACAACGTCTTTCACTTACTCTTTCTTTCATGGGTTTTCCTTATCTCTTGCACCCATGAATTACAGACCACCCAACTTCGACTTCTTCTCCAGCTGAGGCAGCATTTGGAATACCCAATTCAGTTGACCAATTGGGAAAACTACAATGCTGACTTTTGCAGCTTGCCTTCTACTCTTCATGTAACCATCAAATGTGAAGACAACTCTGTCACTGAGCTCAAAATCATGGGAGATAAGCTTCCTAGGGTCAGTAGTCTCTTTCATGGCTTTCCAATTCCAAACCAGACCTTGTCTGAGAATTTCTCTATTGATTCTTTAGTTGTTACATTGGCAAGGTTGACTACGCTCACGGTTCTTAGCTTAGTATCTTTAGGAATTTGGGGCCCACTTCCTGATAAAATCCACAGGCTTCATTCACTTCAAGTCTTGGATTTGAGCTCCAATTTTATCTTTGGTTCTGTCCCAAATGAGATTTCAAGATTAAAAAAGCTTCATACTTTGGCATTAGATGCTAATTTCTTCAATGAATCCATCCCTGATTGGTTTGATTCATTATCAAACCTTACCATTTTGAGCTTAAAGAACAACAGATTAAAGGGTCATTTCCCTTCTTCAATTTGCAAACTAACAACACTTACAGATGTGGTTCTGTCTCACAATCACCTCTCTGGTAAACTACCTGATTTGAGTACCTTATCTAGTCTACATTTGCTAGATTTGAGGGAAAATCATCTAGATTCTCAACTTCCACTTTTGCCTAAAGGCGTGACCACAGTTCTTTTGAGCAATAACTCATTTTCGGATAACATTCCTCAAGACTTTCAAACACTTCATCGGCTCCATCACCTCGACCTGTCATGCAACTCGCTGGTGGGAACACCGCCAGCTGCTTTGTTCACTTTGCCAAACATCACGTATCTGAATCTAGCATCTAATATGCTAAGCGGGTCTCTTTCTAATTCTATCAAATGTGGAAACAAACTTGGGTTTGTTGATATCTCTAGTAATAGGTTTACTGGCAGGCTTCCATCTTGTTTGGACACCATTTCTGGTAACAAGCGAGTTGTTAAGTTCAGTGGGAATTGCTTGTCTGTGGGTAACGGAAAACATCCAGAATCTGATTGCAAACAAGGGAGTATGAGAAAGAAACCGTCTTGGGGTAAAGCTTTATGGGTTCTAATTGTTGTCATTTGTGCGGTGATCTGTTTGGTTTCATTTGCGATTGTGTTCCTAATCTTCCGTAAAAGATATCATCCAAGAAAAACAGTCATGCTTCAGCACACAGTACCAAAAGTTACTGGGGGCAGTGCACCGACGAAGAACTCTTCTGAAGTTACTGCTAATGCCAGTAAGTCAGACTAGATCAGCTTTTAATCTTGCAATCTGTTTTCAGTAGATCATTGAAAGTGTTGGAAGAAATAACGGAATTCCGTTGTCTTTTCAGGGAATGTATCTGAAGCATCAGAATTAGGGACACAAGTTGCTTCATCTTGTCGAGTGTTTTCCATGGAAGATTTAGTGGAGGCCACAGGAAACTTTGATCAATCCGCGTTTTTGGGTGAAGGGTCTATCGGGAAGGTACTTTCTGGCTATTCTAAACTTTGTTCGGTACTTTTGGACTAAATTTCAACTTCAAAAATCGAAGTGGATATGAACAATATCCAAATTCTACCCTGTTAAAATAAGGTAAATGAGTCTGCTTTCCTTTCTATTGCAGCTTTACAAGGGAAGATTACAAAATGGAGGCTACGTCGCTATACGATCGTTGTCATTGTTCAAAAGATATTCAATCAGGAATCTGAAAGTTCGATTGGATTTGCTTTCAAAGCTTCGACACCCACATCTAGTTAGCTTTTTGGGTTATTGCATTCACGATGGCGGAGTGGAGGATTCTACTTCTAGCAAAATCTTTCTGGTTTACGAGTGCATATCTAACGGAAATTTCAGAGCTTTCCTCTCAGGTAACATTTGCTCATCCGCAAGTCTCCTCATCAATCGTCCTGTTTTAGATAACTTGATTTCATTTCTGAAGAGCATGATGGTTGTAATTCAAGTAGAATGGTATTTGCAGCGGACGGTCCAGAAAGAGTTCTAAAATGGTCGGACCGATTGGGAGTTCTGATAGGCGTTGCAAAAGCTGTACACTTTCTGCATACAGGAGTGATCCCCGCTTCTTCTAGCAATCGCCTAAAGACAAACAACATATTGCTTGATGATTATCGGATTGCAAAGCTGAGCGACTATGGAATGTCGGTCATCACAGGAGAACTAGAACAGCTTGAGGTTGCATTTGATATTAACTGTTGTGATGATTTAGATATTGAATCCGTGTACTTATGTATGTTGGTTATGCTTTGTGAATTGTGATGTAGGCAAAGGGAGATGGAGCTAAATCATGGTAATGAACTTGTTGTACGTGGTAGCGATTTTGATTAGAAGAAGAATGGTTAGCTTAAAATGTGGAGTTGTTCCTGGCAGGCATTTGAAGAAGTTGGGTGATGACGTATATGATTTTGGATTCATTTTGCTGGAAGCACTTGTGGGGCCGATAGTAAGCGGAAAAGGGGAGGCGTTCTTGCTGAATGAAATGGTATGGTGAGCATAGGCATGAGAAAGTGATGTAAAAGGGGTGGGTTTTTTTAGTGTTGATGAATGTGTGAATTTGTACAGAAATCTTTTGGAAGCGAGGATGGGAGGCAAAGAATTGTGGATCCGGTGGTGCTAACGACATGCTGTCAGGAGTCTTTGTCGATAGTGATATCGATCACGAACAAATGCATATCAGCAGAAGCAACGAAGCGGCCATCGTTTGAGGATGTGCTGTGGAATTTGCAGTATGCAGCTCAAGTACAGACAACGGCTGATGTGGAGCAGAAAGCAGAGGGGGCATCATAGCATGGTATATGCATCATTTGAGAGCATGCAATTGCAGAAGCAGTGGTAGATGTGGATGGTATGATTTGTAAATGCTATTCAGGAGGAGGTTGGTGGTATGGTTTGTAAATGCTATTCATGAGGGAAGACGTACAAAGAGTAGCAGTGATGGCTGTAGAGACTCATTTATTTGTCTTGAATCATTTTCAATCTTACATTTACTCCTCTTATTCCTATTCATATTCATATTCGTATAAACTTTTAATATAAACTAAATGCATTTCATATATAAATCGAAACACAAACTTGATTCATTTAATTAATTCTCCTTCTTTTTTACTTGCTTTCTTTTACATATAAATCACAACTCTATTTTCATTTATTTTCCCCTACAAGTTTTTGTATAAAATTCGTATTTGAAAACAAAATTAAAAACAAAAATAAAAATAGAGTTGTTGTGTGGATTGATATCAATTTGGTGAGGTGTCATTTATTTATTATACATCAAGTCATCAACAATGGTTAAGGGTTGGGTGGGGGTGGGTCTACGTCACCAACTTACTTCCTAATTTTCATATAATTACCGCATTTTAAATAATTATTATTTTTATTTAAAAAAAGACTCCCGCTTTTTTATTATTATAATAATCAAAAGTGTTTTCCACCGACAGCTGCACCAGTCACCACTTAAACCTTCAACCACCCCTACCCCTACCCCATGTTACACATTCCACCCCTCTAATTTCCTTATATCACCCTATTCATCCCTTATCTTCACATCATTATTAGTTTTCTTCTTCTTCTTCTTCTTCTTCTTTTTTTGGATAAGGAACCAATCTTGGATTCTTTTATCATCATGCCATTTGCCATTTCTCTCAAAAACACCTACCTGTTGTTCAGGTAGCATCATCTGAATTCCATTCCGTTGTTTGTCTCAAGAAAAAGTTGAAGGACAGATTTTTAAACAATTTCATTGTTGATGAAACATAAATGAAAATCTCTAAGATTCCATTCCAACAACAAATCCTTGGTCTTTTTCATTCCCATCTCTTCTAAACAAGCATCTCTTCCAACCCATATTTGCTTTCGGATTTTCATGTAAGTTCTGATAACCCTTTCAATTCTCTTGCTACTCCATCTGTTTCTGTGTTATTTTTATGCACTTTTACTTGTATTTGTGATGGGTTTATGGTGGTGTGGTTAGGGCTTCTTCTTCTTCATTTCTCTCTTCATATTCATCATAACAAGCTCAACTCACGATACCATATATGTAATCTAATTAATCCCTTTTCTTTTGGGTGGTAATTTATTTTCTGTGAATGGAAAGTGAATGTATGCAACAATTGACTCTTTCATTTTAGATAGTCTCCATATGTATGATGTACAATCAGTTTCTTGCTTGCTTACATATTCTACAGCACCTTCTATTCTTCTGCTTTTCAAGTAAAGAAAGAAGAAGATGATGTTCCTCTTGACTTCTCTCATCTCAAACCATAGTTTAGTTTTCAACTTATTTCCTATTCAGGGAAATTTATGAACTGGGAATTTTGCAATTCCGATCCTTTGGGATTCATGTCATGTTCCCTTTTTATTACTTATGTGCTCTATGTTAAAGGTGATGGTGATTTCATAGCATTTTTCAGGGAACCCATCTGATACAACGCCACCACACAAAAATGGTACAGGGAATGAAGACAAAAAACAGGAAAAGCCCATCTGTTCAACTCGATTATGAAATCACTATCATAGACATTAAACCATGGCCTCCATCTCAGTCCTTGAGATCACTTCGTTCTGCTTTGATTCAGTGGGAACATGGTGAAAAGAATTCGGGAACTACTAAGGCAGTTGCCCCATTACTTGTTTCTGGTTCTGATATCGGTGATGGTAAAATTGAATTCGACGAGTCTTTTAGGCTCCATGTGAAATTGTTGAGAGAAATGCCCATCAGGGGTGGGGACAGCGACACTTTTCTAAAGAATTGTATAGAGTTCAATATGTATGAACCACGAAGGGATAAAACTGCAAAAGGACAGTTGTTGGCCACTGCAGTTGTAGACTTTGCAGAGTACGGTCTTGTTAAACATGGTTTGATCATTAGTGTACCTATGAACTGCAAGAGGACTTTTAGTAATACCGCTCAACCCATGCTCTTCCTAAAGATTCAAACGGTTGAGAAGAATAATCGTGCGAGATCTTTATCTGGGGATAGCTTGGTCAGAGAAGGATCAGTGGACAGAAACTGTTCAGAAGAATATGCTGAAGAAGCTGAAATTGCCTCCATTACTGATGATGATGTTTCCTCACAGTCTTCCATGGCTGCAACATCTTTGACTTCAAGTAATACAATTGAAGTCACAGGTAATACTCAGGAAATGATGTCGTCCCAAGGACTTGAACAAGTCAAAGTTTCTAAAGTGGATGAAAACATCGCTTCTTTGAAGGTGATGGAATCCCAAGTCAATGTTGTGGATGATCAAAAATCTTGTATGCCATTGTCAAATAACGATGAAAGTCAAAATGGTCAAGAAAACCAAATCATGGGAGATCTTGAGTCTAACATTTCAAGTGCTGATAGATTTATAAAGGGGAAGCCTGCCCGTTCTCCATTAGATTCAGGCTATGGCAATGGATCTTGGAGGAGTAGCAAGTTTGGGGAAAAGATCAAAGATGGTTTTCACACACAGAATGAAAGAAAAGATGTTAGCAAGGTACAACGATTAGAACAGAGAGTACAAAGTCTTGAAGGTGAGCTTAGAGAAGCTGCTGCCATTGAAGTTGGTCTTTACTCGATAGTTGCAGAGCATGGGAGTTCTGTTAATAAAGTTCATGCCCCAGCTCGGCGTCTTTCTAGGCTGTACCTGCATGCATGCAAAGAGAATTCCCAATCTAGGAGAGCAAGTTCAGCAAGAAGTATTGTTTCAGGATTGATTTTGGTTGCGAAAGCTTGTGGAAATGATGTTCCAAGGTACTTTGTGGACAAAATGAATTCCTTGAGTACCCTGGAAATTATTTAACTTATCTTGCATCTCTTCGACGCAGGTTGACTTTCTGGTTGTCAAATTCTGTCGTACTGAGAGCAATTATAGGCAATACTTTCGAACAAGAGCATTCAGCAACTTTTTCTGAACAATTAAGCAAAAAGAACGCGGTGAAGTGGAAGAAAGAGTCTTTCTTGAAGGAGAATAGGACTGGGATGCGTTCGAATGAATGGGAGAGCCCTTGTAACTTCACTTCTGCCTTGGAAAAAGTAGAATCTTGGATCTTTTCACGAATCGTCGAGTCAGTCTGGTGGCAGGTCGTTGCATAATCACATTCTTCCACCAAGATCTATAGTTTTCGTTGAGGTTATATTATGTTCTATAAGTGGCTAAAGTGATTCCTTTTTTGCAGACTCTGACCCCATATATGCAATCTGCTGCTGCAAAGGCTATTGTTAGAATTGTGGATTCTGGGTCTGGTAAAAAGACATCGAGCTCACATGATCAAGAGCAAGCAAACTTCTCCATGGAGCTTTGGAAGACTGCTTTCATGGATGCTTGTGAAAGGATTTGTCCCGTTCGAGCTGGAGGACATGATTGCGGTTGCTTGCCTGTGCTTTCTAGATTGGTAATCAAGTAATTTTACAATCAACGACCAGCAAGTTGTTAGATTGTGGTTTCTAATAAATCTTTTGCTTCATTAGGTAATGGAACAGTGTATGGCTAGATTAGATGTGGCTATGTTTAATGCTATCCTTCGTGAATCTGCTGATGAGGTTCCAACTGATCCTGTATCTGACCCAATCAGTGATGCCAGAGTCCTTCCTATTTCATCAGGGAAGGCAAGCTTTGGGGATGGTGCACAGCTGAAAAATGCGGTCTGTGAACTTTTAACAACTTCATATGCTTAGTCTCCATAGAAAAGTTGCTTAAGATGTTGAACAGAAACATAAATCAAGTCACTTTTCAGCTCTAATAATGTGTGTTATGTTGGTTAATTGCAGACAGGAAACTGGTCCAGGTGGCTTACTGATCTATTTGGTATCGATGATGATTCTTTTGAAGATGGTGATTATGATGCATCATTCAAATCTTTTCACCTCTTGAATGCACTGAGTGACCTCATGATGCTTCCAAAGGATATGCTTTTAAGTAGCACCATCAGAAAAGAGGTTTCTGAAACTTATTCTGAACCTCTGCTATTCTGATGTTCATAAATTTACTTCTTCTTTATACTTTTTTGCAGGTGTGTCCTACTTTTGGTGCACCATTGATAAAGAGGATACTTGATACTTTCGTCCCGGATGAGTTTTGCCCAGACCCTATTCCTCTAGTCGTGCTTGAAGCACTAGATTCAGAGGTCAGTTCATCCAAACAATGACAATGGACTTGCAGTTTTTTCTTCTAATTTCTCTTAAATTGACCTCCAATGTTGGATATGAATTTACCAGGATTCATTGGAGGGTGGGGAAGATTGTGTGATGAGTCTCCCCTGTGCAGCGGGGTCAGTTGTATATCAGGCGCCTTCTTCAATACGTTGCATACTGGGAGACGGTGGAAGTCAGTTGACACGCGGTGGATCGATCTTGAGAAAGTCAAACACGAGCGATGATGAACTTGATGATTTGAGTTCACCTTTGACTGCTATCATCGATACCAGTTGTAGGAGGAACCCAACAAAGACCAGTTCGAGATTGAAGGATGGTGGTATTAGGTATCAACTCCTTAAAGAGGTATGGATGAATAATGAATAGAGTGAGGTTCATGGGATGAGATATTCTGAAAATACTGCAACTAAAAGGTATAACCACCCTGAGATGTAAATACTAAACAGGCAGATTATATTTCGTTATCTGGATTTTCTTCTAGTAATGGCTTTTTGTTGGCCTTCTTGTGATTCATACGTATGTAATTACGTGAATTTAGAAATTTTTTATGTAAAACGAGCAGAAACGTTTGCATTAATACCCTTGTGATGTTTGTGTTATATCCTTCTAATCTCATCTACAACCAAGTAGCAAAGGTACCTCTTACTTGTAAATTTCCATGAAAGTAGGCGTGTCATTTTAAAGCCAAGTCAAGGTCCAATTCCAATATCCCGATGGACAACTAGATACATTCTTGGATCCACCAAATTTGACCATATTGGTCTTTACTCAAAAACAGATGGATGATACATGTGATAAAGAAAGAACAAAAGGCAAACTTTATGTTATGTAAGGCACAAAATTGATGAACCGCACCCGGTCATATCTCTAAGACTACGTTACACAATACCACAGTTCTATAGCTCTCGAGCAAAATGGATAGAACAAAATTATTCTCTTGTAACTCTCGGTATGTTAGCATATGCCAAATCTATATTACACTCGCAAAATACTTGTATATTGTTTGTTTTGAAGTGCAAGAAATCATACACTCAACTTGTGTGAACAAGAGCTGAGAGCATTCATATGTTGAAGATGGAGGGCTGCCAAAAGTCCTTGCCATGTTTCTCCAGGTGCACCACCCACATTGAAGTTTAGAAGTTTCTTCTGTTTCTTGTAGTACTCCTCCAGTGCATTCTTCTGCAAGTAAGATTATGATCATCAACATAAATCCACATTTAATTATCCTGCAAAAGTAGAAAGTTTAGATTCAAATGTACCATTGAGTCGCGTCCGTTAAGAAAATCTTGGTAAGAAGCACAAGCTTGACCTCCTACGTGCTTCTTCTGCAAACATTCTTCCGTGCATTTGAAATTTAAGACCAAATCTATATCAGCAACTTGATCAAGAATCTCCTGTTGCAAAATAACAATCATCAAACACAATTACGACCGCCAGAATACTACCATTCAAGCAAAGCTGTTGGTGTAGGGACTAGAGCAATTCTTTATATATAAAAGATTCAAGAGAACTGAAATTCTTATGAAGGAAGAGTATTTAAATATGATGTTTGATTCCTCTATGTTCAAGCTACACTATCAAAACACAAACATCCTAACTTACAGCTTGCATTCGTGTTCGAGGAATTCCATCCAAAATGAAGCCAGTTTCACCTCTGTAGAAACCTTCTTCCAACCTCTTTGATAACAGACCAAAGATCACTTCCTCGGGCACAAGCTTGCGTTGATTCACAGCATCCGCGATCTAAGCTTGCAAAAGGAGCATGAGTCAGATATGTCATATGTATGGAGAATTTTAAAAAGAAGCCATAATGTAAAACGTAATTGTCTAAGAAAATATGGTAAGAAAACAATAGTTCAACCATAATCCTAAAATTTCAATTCTTCGATAGGTTTTCCACAATTTAATCAAAAGCATAAAACTGAAAAGAAGAATAGATCTAGATAATCGAACAGACAAAGATGCAAAACGCAATTACGTAAACGGCGAAGGGAAATCAAGCAAACCTGTTTGTAAAGAGAAGAGCGAGGGTGGAGTTGTTGACGAACGAGGGTTCCCATAGAAATATGAGGTACTTTGAGGAGCTGTGAAAGCCTCTCGGCGTACATGTGCCTATTTGTCAATGGATCACCCATGATAACCCACTGCACTCCCCTACCTGACACCGATCCGAGAGAATCCTCCTCCGTCCCCGAGAAGCTCTCTTTGTAATCATACTCGTCATCGTAATCGCACTGGAGCTGAGCCGCCGATCCATAGAAACGGCGGCGTTTCATCGGAGCTAAACGGAGCCGCGCAAGAGGGGCTACTCTGACCATGGCCATGGCGGCTGATGAGGGTTTTAGCGACGGACGGAAAAATCAGGGTTTTGAAATGATGGAAATAGGGCAAATGGAAGGGAAGGACAAAAAGCAAAAACCAAGATAAGTTTTAATTTAGACCCTCAAAAGTTGAATTATTTTCATTACTGCCATCGTATTTAAAAATTCCAGTACATAATTAAAATATGTTTAATTCTTGCAAAACAACCTTTTTGGCATTCGCTTTCTTTTGATTTATCTTTCTTTTACCTCTACTCCCGTTTCTCACAATCGTACAAGACACGTCTAGGTCTAGTGTACCTGATGATGTTATTACAAACGTAGAATACATTTTGACATTGAAGATGTTCTTCATGCAATTTTTCTCAAAAATGTTTTACCATATGTTTGACAAGCTAACTGATAAACAAATCATGTTTGACAAAAACTAGCTTATAAACATATAAAATGCTCAAAAAAGACATCTTAAAAAAACAATCAACCACAATATAATGAAAACAAATCTCTAAAAACATAATACGTTGATTAATATGATAAAATATAATATAATATACTGAGTAAAAGAATTTCAAATTGAATATTATAAATTTTAGATTTGTTAAAGAAATTTTAGAAAAAATCTAATAATTTGTGAATATGAATATGAATATGAATATGAATATAAATAAACACACATATATGAGAATGGTGGTTTTTTTTTCCCTTTGTTGTAGTAAATGAATTGTAGGTATGAAAACCAAAAGGCGCTTGTAGCACATATATACCCAAATCTCTTTTTAGGTTTTGTTGTGTAGAAAAACGAACAACTAAACTAAACTAATGAGAAAACAAAAGAAAATTGGTATATATTTCAAGGTATATACATATACATATACATATATAGAGAGAGAGAGGGGTTTATTCATATCAATTTTCATCTTGACTTTGAAATATATATATATATATATATATATGTTTACAAATGATTATTATAACACAAGCTCCATCTATTTAGAGAGAGTTTGATGGTTCATGTGTAGATAATTTAAATAAAAATATCATTCTAAAGAAGGAATTGATAACCAAAAGAAAAACAAAGTTTGTAAAGCAGTGTAGTTTATGAAAAGATGGAGGGTGGAAAGTGAAAATAGATAGGAATACAAGTCAAAGGAATTGCACCTGTAACCACGCGCCAAAAGTCGTGCTTCCAATGACTCGTATCCATTCATCACCAAACCAATTCCTGTCCACGTACTTTTTTTTTGGTGGAATTCTCATTTTAAAAGAAATCATGATTTTTATCAAAATATTGATTCCTATTTTATAACATCTTCATTTTTATTTTCATTCTAAGATTCGATTCGATTGGATTGGGTTGTAATTGTATCTTAAAACCATGTCCAAGTTAACTAGAAATTATGTGGGAAAAACTTTATTGACTTTGAATAAACCAAAAGTCGGCTATTCATTTTTAATTTAATTTAATTTAATAAATAAAATACAATGGAGACGCTTCTATTCCATTTTTTAATTTATGAATGGTTTATTTATTTAAACCTCAAGTTGACGTTGTTATTGGCTTTTCTAATTTCATTTTATTTTTTCTATTGTTTTCTTATCACTTTTAAAATTTATAATCGTTTAAAAGAATTTGTAAGTCAATTCCATTTTAAATATCAAAATATTTATAACTTTAGTGAACTTTTTAAGAAAGTTATATAAATAAATAAATAAATAATAATTCAATCTTGTTGGTGAAAAAGATACACATCTCTCTTCTCCTGTTTATTTTTTTTATTAAAATTCTTTAAAGATGAAGTTGTATATTTGTTTTAGATAATTTATTAAAGATATAAAAATGCCCCCTTCCTTGTTATATATATTATATATTAAAAAAAAGAAGGAGAAAAAAAAAAGAGGGTCCATTTCGTGGTAACTTCCAAATTTTCTGGAACGAAATTGTAAATTGGTAATGGTGAGCTAATAATCTCTGTTCAACTTCAACCCCCACGCGCAAAAGAAAAAGAAAAAAAACAACAGCGGCCTTTGGCCTTTATATAACTACTAACTAACTCCCTTGCCATAATTCATATTTCATACTTCCTAATTCCTAATTCCTAATTCCATCCGTCTTCTACTCCACAATAATATATACACGCTTTTTCTTTCCTTTATGGACATACAACAGCAATACAAACGCGTGTTTGGATATTTGGACAAGAATGGTGACGGCAAGATATCGCCACCGGAGCTCCAGATTTGCATTCGAAAGATGGGTCAAGAGTTGTCATCGGAGGAGGCAGAGATGGTGGCAGAGTTAATGGATTCCGACGGTGATGGATTGTTGAGCATGGAGGATTTGGTGAAAGTGGTGGAAGCTGCAAATGAGGAAGAGAAAGCCAACGACTTGAAGATGGCATTCAAGATGTATGGAGATGAGGATACCATTACCCCTAAAAGCTTGAGGAGGATGCTTAGCAAACTAGGAGAGTCGAGGAGCGTTGACGAGTGTGAGTTGATGATTGCAAAGTTCGACCTGGATGGCAACGGTGTCCTTGATTTTCATGAATTTCAGGACATGATGATGTCGTAAATAACACATCACTCACCATTCTTTACAATTCATTCATTTCTTGTTCATGTAAATAAAATATTATTTATAAATCTTTTTTCAGCAATATATATATATATATATATATATATATATATATAAACTTGACTTCACATTTGTCTTGCTAACTAATAACTACATACCAGATACCGTAAGGCTATGTATGTATTTATTTCAATTAGTTTAGTACCATCTCATGTTTCCAAGTATTTTTTTAATTAAAACAATTTATCCATCAACTATAAAACTTCTTTTTCAATAGATTAAGGAAGCAATTAATATCTTAAATTTGATTATTTCTATCACATAAAACACCTTCACTAATTCCACATATGTAACTTCAATTTTTTATGATACCACTTCATCACCTAAGTTCCTCCAATCAACAACAAATGGTCTTGTTGCTCTCTCTCTCTCTGTATGTATGTATATATATATATATATATATATATATATAGGTGGAGAGACGTAAAGTACTTGAACCTGATAGAATGTAGATGCAGCTATGCGCTTTAGATATATTGAAAGAAAGCTGCTACAATCTGAATAAGCAGCAGCTACTCACAATGACTCTCACAATTTCATCAATACATCAAACAAAGTTAGCTCTACAATAATACAATGTAAGAAAGCGAATCAAAGTCGCAAATTTATCATGTTTCCGGTATCAAACAGTACATCACCTTGGGAAACTTTATTTCTTGTATATTCTTAATTAATAGTTGCTTTTTGGGCTTCATTCACACTTGTTTTGAGTAGGGATATAACTTCAGCTGGATCTGCAGCTCCAAACACTGAACTCCCAGCAACAATGCAATTTGCACCTGCAGCAGCTGCTGTCTTAATGGTAGAAGGCCCTAAACCTCCATCTACCTGCAAATTGCAATCCTCCAATCATACACCCTTTCATATTATTGCCCCACAAAAATAACATGATATATTGTTTAATGACTTTCGCTACATATCAAAAAGCATAATGATAATTTCGGATTATGAAAAAAAATATATCTGCCACAGTTCAACCAGTCTTCTTAATAAGAGTACAAAGTTTACATGGTTAACAAGTTGAAGGGATAAATTGATGTTCATTGACTGGACGAGTTAGAAGATGTTACCAGAAGGATGTCATTAGGGGTGGTAGAGAGAAGAAGGATCGTGTGAGAATAGGAATTAAGGTGAGAAGTGTAAGGAAGAGATTTGGACCCTTGATCACTTTTAATCTCAAACCAAACCATGAATCGCGCTTTAGAAGGGAATTGATCCGGTGCTTCTCATTAGTGTTTGATCTAGTGGAACTCTTCAATTAGGATTGCTCGAAGGATGGAGATCCCTTCTCACAATAACTTCCATTCTCACCAGAACCCCACCCGTGGTAGAGATCGGTCAAGAAAAGAGTACATGGAAATGTGCTAGGTTTTGCTTCTTTTTAATTTATATTCAGTTTCATTTTCAGCCAATAGCCAAGGCTTGTTGTATGATGGCTTGTGTGCCAAAAGCTCAATTGTTAACCCCCTTCATCTATTTAAAGATACTTCCTACTTACCATCCCCAAACTCGCACATTAAAACCAAAATCTGAGGAGGATGCATGCTGATTCACAAGTTTAACAGGTTGACTATGATGTCTTGGTTTGATCAATTCAGATTACATAGATGGTGAAACATAATAATGGAGGCGACTAATAGCAGATGTGACGATATTTATAAATATTGAGGCTTTTGCATTTAAGATCAAACATTAGCACAAAGGTACATGTGTAAGTGTGCAACACAGAGTGTTGGCAAACTTAAGGCAGATGAGCTATGCCAATACTCCTCAACTCGGATAGGAATTTGTGGTGTGGTAATGCGACCATGTTGCCAGGAGAGAAGTAAGGTGGCATTATGAACGCTATCTGGTGATGGGAGGAAAGGGTGCATAAAATCAGGTTGTTAGGAACATTTCAAACCAAGACAAGATTGTGTAATCAGACATTTTGAATATTCAGATTATTTGTAACAGTTTGCTATTCAAATTTAGAGCAAGACAAAAGGTACTTTTAATAAATTAAACCCACGTCCTCAGCTAGCTTCACAAAATACCTACCACAGAATGACAAAAGGATAAAAAATATAGGCATGAAATATGACTTGTTCATAGAAATGATAAATGTAGAAGAGCTTGGTGAAGAAATTGAAGAAGTATGAATATATGTGAGCATAAAGCATATAAATACATAAAAAATATACAAGTTGTGGAACAACTAACCTCTATATCAAGTTTTGGGTACTTCTCCCTCAGCGTGCGCACCTACAACCAAATTGAAGGATAATAGAAATCAATTAAAAACCGCAAATGGAAATGTTAGCAAAGTTCCCACAAACATGCTTATGTACCTTATTCATCATATCTGGCATGAACTTCTGCCCACCAAATCCAGGTTCCACGGTCATAACAAGAACCATTTCAACAGGATTTTCACCTTCAAGCTATGAACCAATAAAATGAAAATATTAATCTATAAGCTAGATGATTATACAATTAATGTGAAGAAAGTTTTTTTACACCATCAGCACATGCTACAATAATAAATTGTTTAAAAAACATATAACAGATACCAGAGGATACACTTCCTCAATGGGCGTTCCTGGTTTTAGTGCCACACCAGGCCGCATGCCCTTGGACTTGATTTGTTTAACAAGTTCCTGCCAATTATCTGCAGTGTTTTCTCTAACCATGAGTAATCTAAATTGAAGGCGCAAGGAATGAATAGGGTGATCGGATAACATAATAATCCGACCTTTAGACACCTCAACATGAAACGTGAAACCTGAAGCACCAGCTTTTCCAAATATTTCAACATAATCAAGAGGATTTGTTACCATTAGGTGGCAATCCAGATATGCCCTGCATGAGAGAAAGGTACAAGCTACTCGTTGATGAATCAACCAAGAAGCTAGGGGTGGAAGTTGGAAAAAAAAAACAAAGGATTTACTTGGTGTGCTTTCTCAAACTCTCAATGACCGGAGCACCTATTGTTAGATTTGGGACAAAATGACTGCAGAAAATGAAGAACATTGTTAATAGTCATTCAGAAAAGCATAAGATGGACGCCAACTGAAACCAACGATCTGCTAGTTACTGATAAAAAGCGACAACAACAGAAGAGGTTTAGCCATGTCTGAAACATACCCATCCTGCAAATCAAGTTCAATGTATGAGAGGCAAGTAGTAGAACCAAAGAAGCAAAGTATAATCTAATAACAAGTGGGAATTCACAATGTTACTCGGCATGAACAAAATTTGCTACAAGAAACAGATGCACACAAGTTGAGGTCACAAATCTATAGAATAAATGCGTAGGTTAAAGTAATGTAGGGGATACTCAAAGAGAGTGGAAAGTGGAAAAAAAGCATTAACAAAAGTTTCTAACATCCTTGGGATACAAACAAAAACATAGGTCCGGTATGAAATAACATAGCGAAGGCCGAAACGTATGTAAAGGAATGACATCCATCAGAATGAAAGCGCACAGCCACAGAGAGACATGAAAATGATCATTGAAAGTGTTGCTTGCACATAACAAGGGGGAAGTTTATAATTATTTATAAAGTTGAATCATGAAAGGAAAGGAAAGGAAGGATGAAATAGATCCGTACCATGATGTCCATGTGAAGCCAATCAGCACCAAAGGTAAGCATGCGTTGAGCCTCTGACGCGAGATTGGCGAAGTCGGAGGATAGCATGGAGGGGGCGATCTTGGGTGTAGGCATGATTGGGAAGGAATTTGGCGATGGGAGTTAGAGTAGAAAGCAAATAGAAATGGTGGTTGGTGTTGGAATTAGGGTTTTTGATTCAGGTTTCAATTGGCGCTGTTTTTTTCTTTTTTCTTGTTTTTCATCTCCACCAAACAAACATATTTTGAAATTCTTGTAATAAAATTCTGTTTCTAGCGGGTCTTTTAAAATACATACGACGTCTGTAATAGATAGCTTCATCTCATCTCATTTAAGATTATAAGAGCATTTTCGGTTGAGGTTCTTTTAAAAACCCGTTTTTTATACTTGCCAAGTCATTTTCGACACATCAAATTAATAAACTCTACAACGTTAATTCTTATAAAAACTCATCCCACCCCATGTGTAATATATATTAGTGAACTTAATACAAAATATTAAGTTACATATCAAAATTATTTTACAATAAAAAAATGAATTTGAAAAGAAAGAATGTATATTAAAGTGGGTGGTTTGTGTTTAGGGTCTCCAAAGCTAAGGTGTGAAGTGTGATGAATGAAGAAGATATGGAGATGGTGTGGCAATTTATGATTCTCTCTCCTCTCCTCAGTTGGAGGGGGTGATGTATAATTGTGTGTGTGGCACTGGCATGAATGAATGAATGAATAAAGATAAAGATAAAGAGATATTCAATAACTGTTGATGAAGAGAGTGAGTGAGGTGAGGGGCAACTTGGAGTTTTTTTTTATTACATCATGTTTTCAATCTTATTTAAATGCTAACAAAAGTGAAAGCATCCAATGTCTATATATTAAATAATCTGTTTAAGAGAAGATAAACCCATTTCCAATTTTCATCAAATTAACACCAACCAAACTCTCAAAACAATACTCATTTTATTAAACTTACTTATCTGATTGTAAATATATAGATTTACTTATTTTTATTTATATATAAATAAACAAAAATCATATACCATTTATCCAATCACTTTTAGAATGCAATTTGTATGTATCACAAAATAGATACCATATAATAAAAGATAGATAAATTATTAAACTACAAATATCAAATTAAAATCTTAAACTTTTTTACAATTTTTTTTTTTTATCATTTACCCCATTCTCATCCACAATAGGGTCAAGTCTAGAAAGCTTGCAAGTTGCAGCATGTCCCACGTCATTAACATTTCTAAAGCAAAGTTGACATATTTATCCTCAAAGCCCATCTTCTTTTAATAAATTCGGTTTTGAACAACCTACCCTACCAATTTCATAAATGACTATTGTTTTTAACTCCATTGATTGTAACAATTCAAAGGTTTATCCCATTACATGCACTAGTTGTGGCATAAATATGTCTTGTTGCAACCTAAAAACAGTAGCTCAAAGGGTTTTGGAATCATTTCTTTAATAAATCATCTATTTGGTTGTGAAGTAATGCATGTCATGATCAAGTTTTTAATCTAATTCTTTTAACTAATAATAATTGATACATATTTTTTATGGTTAGTTGTTGTAAAATTATATTTAATTAATATTATTAGTATTAAAGTTGGGAAAAATATATGGAAGGTCAACATCATGCCTAAAAAAACAAAAAGAGAAGTGAGAGAGGGGGGGGGGGGGGGCCATGACTCTCTTTGGTTCTTTTCTTTTAATCAATCGTCTTTGTTTGTTGTTCGTTTTGGCATTTGTGCTTGCAAACTGTTTTTCTTCTTATCTTAAGCGTAACGCCAAATCACACCATTCATTCATTTCCTTCCTTTTTCTTTATCATACTCTCTCTCTCTCTCTCTCCATTCCTAAAATCCATCATTACTAATTATCAACACACATATGGGTGCTTGTGTTTCTACCCAAAACCAGAACCAGAACCAGAACCAGAATCCAATGAAGCTATTTGGATCTAATCTTCTCTCGCCCACTCAACAAAAACCTCCCATCATCAATGCCAATGCCTCCCATCCACCCCTTTCTTTTCAAGATTTCGGTACTAAATTCTTTCTTCAACTTTCTTTTCATATACTTGATTTATTTTATGGGATTTTAGTTACTTCATCTTCATGGTTGGAATCTATTTTCTGACTTGTGATTTTTATTTCTTCTTCTAATCTCTGTTAATTTTTATTCATTATCTGGTTTTACTAACTTGTTTCACTTGTAGCTTAGTTTGTTATCTAGTTGTGGAGTCGTTTATATTTCAGCTTATTAATTTGGTCAATCCATACTCTATAGTTTTTGGGGTTTTCTAAATTTCCATCCTAATGATGGGAATTATTTTGGGGATAAAGTTGTCATCTTCTTTACTTCATTTGAGAAAGAAGAGTTGTTATTTAGATATGTAGTGTAATTGGTGCTTGTAATGTGGAGTACACATTAATATTGTTGACTCCTTTTGTTTCTTCAAAGTTACTATCTTAATATTCTTCGATCAATGACTTTCATCTCTCTGTCTCTTTTCTTGGGTGTTAAATGGTAAGTTTTAGTTCACAACATTATTAAATTAGGATTGATTGGTAATTATTGTTTCATCCTCAAATTGATCTATTATATATATACATAATATATCGTTAGTACTTATATCATGCTTTGCTGGTTTTATTTATTGTGTTTAAATAATGACTAGCAAACGAAATTCAGAATATGAATTGGTGGAAACTTTTATGGGAAGAATGGCCCACACAATACTTTTGTTATCAACAATGATAGCTAGATACAAGTTATGTTCACCCCCCCCCCCCCCCTTTTCTTGACGTTACCTATGGAAGAAGATACATAAATTCGAGGAAAGAAAGATTTGTTTCATCTAGTTGTAATTTACAGAGCATGCCAATTGCCTTTTGTAGCTTATCATGTTGTTATAAGATAAATACAAAGTAATTGGCTTGAAACACATTGTTTCTTGTATGTGTTATTTGGAATGTTGATGTATGTTTGCTATTTTGTATTGAAGGTAGTAAAGAGGACACATTTTTCGACTCACAAGCATGGTTAGAGTCAGATTGTGATGATGATTTCATGAGCGTAAATGGTGGTAAGATATGTTTTTTTGACAACAATTGATGTTTGTTGATTCTAGTTTAGTGACATGAGTGGTGGTGTTAATTTGTGCAGAATTTACCCCATCAAGAGGTACCACTCCGGTCCATCATAACTTCTCTGTAGGTAACAAGCAACAGCCTCTTGTTTCCCCATATCCAAATACCCCTGAAAAGAAACCAAGACTTTCTGATCTTTTCAAAGAAAGCCTAAGGGCAGACAATTATGATTTAGAAGATGAGAATGAAGATGGTGAGACGAAGTCAAATGTTAGTAACGGTGTGAAGACGAAGAGGGAAAGGTTGGGTTGCTTTCGGAGCTTGGTTCCTAGTCGGAGCTCGTCAACAAATGGAAGGAAGATGATGATGATGAGTCCAAATCTAACAAGCCCAAACCCAAAATCAGTTGTGGAGTGATGAAGCCAAGTTGAATGTCCAAATCCAAATGTATAGTAATTAAGAAATGAATATGCATGTAAAGCTAATTTCAGTTGATAAATTGAAAATGTAAGAGCAAGTATATGTTTTACGTAATTTCCAGTGGAAATATACATATTTGAAGATTTTTGGTCATTGATGTTGAACAATAATAATAATAGACAAGAGAAGAGAGCCCTGTTTTAAGGTATAATTTGTTGATTGCATATGCTCTGGTTGTGAATTTAGAAACCTTATTAAAACACAAAATTCACTTATTTTGTAAGTATATTCATAGGATAAGTACAAAAAATCCAACAAACTATCTCATTTTAAATGATTAAGTCTCTAAATTATTATTTTTAATGATCAAGTTTGGACATTTTTTTTCAATAAATTAAACCATCGAGTTTCTAGAAATTGGTTACTTATATCATTTTAACCCAAAAAAGCTACTTGTAACCGGTTATCTTTTGATTATGCTTTTTTTATTAGATAAAAAAAATAGATCAAAAAGAAGGAGAGCAAACAACGTTATTGATGAGAGACACTTAAAAAAAAGTGAGTTATGAGTTGCTAAAGTATTTAAGGTTTTAAAATAAACATTATACAAAGTCACAAAAAAGAAAATGGTTTAAAGGGTTTTAGATAAACCTTGCTCTATATATACATACATACGGACAATGGCACATACTGCATTGTTTTGTTTTGTAGGATGCAGGAGTCGTTGCTCCTTATCTTGTGTGTGGATATGATATGATGTCTCATCCTGAATTCAATCTAATATCATTTCTAGAATCATCCTATTGCTCTTTGTCTTTGTCTTTTAAATTAAATCAAATCTTTAATATTAATTAATTAATTAATTAATGTGTATGAAAGATAGAAACATTCTGGAGTTTTGCTCAATTCATCTACTATAACTATACAATCAATATACATACATGTATTTTTACACTACCTACCAAAATTATATGAACTCATTTCTTTTTCATTTTCATTTTCATTTTTTATATATAATCCTCATAAATTATAGTTTTTATTGCTTTCAATAATTAGTAAATGAAATGGTTTGGTTTGTAACTAAATTTCCATTATATATTATTTAATTAGAAATAATAATCTTATATTAAAAAAAGGTTATTTTATTATATTTTATATAGTGAGAGATTCCTTGGTTTATTATTGATTAATAATAAGTTATGAGACAATTTTAGGTATAGAGCGGTGTGAGCTTTGTCCTTGGCCCAGGCCAGTAGTAATTCCAAATTCCAAGTGATCCGTGACGTGATGGAGTTTGAGCATCCCACTTCACCCCCCTCACCTATTTTACATTTGTCATAAAACCAATGTTTCTTGCATTCTAACCACAATTTGTCAATCCAATTCCAAAACCCACGTATGGTATGGTATGGTATGGTATGGATAGCCAACCCCAACCATTACCAACACCATGCACTAACCTATCTCTTACATATATACAGAGAATACTGAAATTGAAAACCATCATACATTTCCCTAACTTTTTTTCATTTCTACCTATCTTTTGTTTTGTTGAATTGAAAAATTACCAAACACTCACATTTTTTGTTTTACAAATTCAAACGAAAACAAACAATTAACAGATACAACTTATTTACTTGTTATGATCTAAAAACAACAACACCACTTGCTTTTTCTCAATCTCAAGCTACAAAAAGGAAATCAACAACAATGGATCATGAGTAATGTAATGTAATGAATGTGTTCTATGGCAAGAAAGAACAAATTTCATCCAAAACATTCTTCCTCAATCACTTTTTGTTAAACACAAGAAATAGAAAACGAAATAAACCACATCATCAATCCTTTATGATTAGAATTTTGTATAAATAAATAAATAAAATTACATTTATGATAAATTAAAGCACGTACGTCATCCTACATATATAATATAACTTGCGTGAACATAACATGCTTTCATACTTTACCCCAAAAGATCATGCCCTTCTCACATGATGGATGATACATTATTTCTATGAATGGAACCTTATCTTAACAACCATGTTTGAAAAAAGAACATGTAAGATTTTAAAAGAAAAAGACCATCGATTGAGCATTTCAACTTTAAAAAATCATATTTTCTTTTATAACTATGAATGTCTTAGTCATGTGTTAATTTCATGTCATGGGGTATAAAAATAGTAAATGGAAGAATTATTTAGGATTGGATGATAAAATAGTAGAAAGAAATATTAAGTGGGGTGACCATCTGCCAATTCTGTCACCTCCTTTTTCCCCTGTTTCAGTTGAGGGAGGGAGAGAGAGAGAGAGAGCTCAGCCCCAATTTTCAAGATTTTGTTCACACACTAACATTACCATTTATCACCCTATAAATACTGCTTCTGATCCTTTTTCTGTTATCAAGAAATTATGGGTGTCCGTAAGCTTCTGAGATTCTTATGGGTCATCAGTGTAGTGCTGTTAATTGAAGCATTCTCAGGTTCGGGATCGGTGAGACTGAAAAGCGTCGCAATGAATCCTCCACCGCTGGGAATATGCGCCTCCTCCGTTAGAAAGCATGGTTACAAGTGTGAAGAAGTTGATGTAGGTTTAATCTACAACCAATTACTCCTGCTAATCAATTACTAATTACTCCTGCTAATCATTTAGGTCACGACAGAAGATGGATACATATTGAGTGTTCAACGAATTCCGGTGGGGAGAGGCGGTGCCGTTGGTGGTGGAAGGAAAAGACAGCCGGTGTTGTTACAACATGGAGTTCTTGTGGTATTCTATTTCTATTTCTATTCTTTCAATTCAAATTCTATGTTAAATTATTATCACCATTTATGTGACACTACACTTGTTTAATTTAAATGACAACTTTTATACAAAATGTTGGGTTTAGATTCGTTAAAAGATGTTGATGGGCTCCAAATTTGTACTTGGCCCAATAATTCCCATTGCATTTCAAAATCCTAGGGCTCGTCCGATTTCAAACCAATTATGGGATTGGATTCATCCTGCAAATGCAAACTAAGAGAGTTACAGTTATAAAAAATAATTGGATTTCATTCCATCAATTCCCATAAAAAAAACGCGATTGATTCATCAATTCCAATTCCAATTCCTTTTAAAGCAAGCATGATTGGGTCCAAATTCCTTTTTTTAACTCCTGTTGTCACGTCTATGTATATATTTACAGTTAAGTTTGCTTAAGATGTGTGTATATTCCAAATTTTGTAAGAGTGCAGAATTTGAATGCAGGATGGCATGACATGGCTGTTGAATCCTCCGGAACAATCTCTAGCCTTGATCTTGGCCGATAATGGTTATGATGTGTGGATAGCCAACACCAGAGGAACCTCTTTTAGCCGACGCCACGTCTCTCTAGATCCCGACAGGCCCGTACGTATCATGTTACATATACGATTCCATTCCGTGGTTGTCAATTCTCATGCATCATCAAGTATTAATTAATTGTAGGAATTCTGGGATTGGACATGGGATGAGATCGTGTCTCGTGATCTGCCTGCTGTTATTGCTTTTATCTCCCAACAAACTAGCCAAAAGATCCACTACGTCGGACATTCCCTGGTAACAAATGGAGGTCGTTTTCCTACTATTTTTATCCACTACTAAAGAGCAAGTACACATGTTCATCACGTTGTGATATTATCGTATAGGGAACTTTGATTGCATTGGCATCTCTCTCTGAGGGAAAACAGTTAGACAAGCTGAAATCAGCTGCTTTGTTAAGCCCCATTGCATACTTGAGCCATATGACCACTGCACTCGGTGTTCTTGCTGCCAAAGTCTTTGTTGGTGAGGTACGTACAGCGTTATTCATTTATCAACCACAAACACATCTTATATATATATATGCATCCATCAATCCTCCAACATTCAGCTGAAAACGTTTATATTTCTCTACAGATTACTATAGTATTTGGTCTGGCTGAGTTCAATCCAAAAGGGTAAAATATCTCTATTCGTGCCTTTTTCATTCTTGACGGCAATATACATGAAATGAATGAGTTGATCAACTTGATTGCTGTCTGAAATCTACAGTGAAGATGTGAGCCGTTTCCTCAAAGGCCTTTGTTCAGATCCAAAGGTTGATTGTTATGACTTAATGTCTGCTCTTACAGGTAAATTGTTTTCACAAAATTAGATGGCTATTTCGTACCTTGATTCATTATAACATGCATGATGACTGTTTCAAAGGGAAAAACTGCTGCCTCAACGCCTCAACTGTCGATGTTTTCTTAAGAAACGAGCCTCAGTCTACCTCAACTAAGAACTTGGTTCATTTGGCTCAAAGTAAGTCTGTTTGTCTATATGTCTTCATCTGAATATGACTAAAGCGTATCCTTACTAAAAACTCGATATGTATTTGCAGCTGTTAGAGATGGGGTTTTGGCGAAATATGACTATGGAAATCCTGCTTTCAATATGGAACACTATGGGCAACCAAGGCCTCCAATCTATAACATATCCAACATCCCAAGAAACTTCCCTTTATTTATGAGCTATGGAGGCCAAGACGCTCTCTCGGACCCCAAAGACGTGGCTACTTTGCTTGATGATCTGAAGCTGCATGAAGAAGGGAAGCTAAGCGTGCAGTACATCAAGGACTACGCTCATGCCGATTTTATCATGGGTGTAACCGCAAAAGATGTTGTTTATGACAAAATCATCTCCTTCTTTCGAAGAAACCAATAGATATATATATATATATATGTGTGTGTGTGTGTGTGTGAAAAATGTGCGGCTTTTTGCCATGCCAATCGCTAATCTTTGATTTTTAGCCCCACATCATCAAATCGAACATGTCAAAGAAGTCCATAATAAATATATAATATATCAGAGTCTGTTGCAATGATTAGTTGAGTGTTTAATTTCTTCATAATCAAGTTAAGCGGATTCATTTATGACAAGTTTAAAAGGCAAGCAAGATATATATGATTTAGCTTGGTTCACAATTCATCTAACCCTTTCTTGATTTTACATTGGACCTACCAAATGCCATGAATCAATGTATCTTGAAATTACAATTACACCATCAAAACCACCAACACACCATGCCAATCACAAAGGGCAAAATGGTAAAAGAAGGTTAGGATCAGCGTATGGCATCTGGTTATATATACATACATACCATGTTTCATTGGTTCCATCTAAACAAAGCTAAATGGACAAGAGTGCATCGTATAACATGTTATTCTTCATTGGTATGATGCTAATGTTATCGAAGCAAGGGTTGGCCGAGCAACACGTAGTTGGAGGGAAACAAGGGTGGGATGAATCCACGGATTTTGACTCATGGGCTTCGGGTCAAACATTCAAGGTTGGCGATACTCTAGGTAAGCAGAAACATCTTAGTTTGATGAAATGTTCATTTAAAATGTTTAATCTTTGTATTGTATAGTGTTCAAATACAGTCCAATGCATAGTGTTGCGGAACTTGGCAGCGAGAGCAAATACAACAAGTGCGACATGGGAGCGGCTACAAATTCTATGAGCGATGGCAACAGTGTGGTGAAGTTAACGAAGGCGGGTACTAGATACTTTGCTTGTGGTACAGCCGGACATTGTGATCAGGGCATGAAGGTGAAGATCACTACGGTGTCGGCTTCTGGTTCACCATCGTCATCATCAAATGCCACACCGACTTCGAATTCGAGTGGGACATACGTTGCAGGATGGTTTGTTTTGGGAGGTCTAGTTTTGGTGGTGAGGTCTTTGATGCACGTCTCGTATTAAAGAGAGATGATCATCAAAATCTAGTTTGTTTTTGCAACTTAAGTTTGAGTACCCTTTTTCATGTGTTTGTTTGTTTGTTTGTTTTAATTAATTAGCTCTCTTCAATTCCCAATTGAAACATTATATATATATATATATATATATATAATAATCGAATTAATCATTTTATTCAACTTATAGATAATTTGATATATTTAAATGTAACAACTCTATATTTATAAATCATGACAACAATTAACCATCCTTGCAAATAAATAATTTCACCAAGAGTTGGATATTTTAATTTCCAAGAAAAAGAGAATTCTAATACATTGAGAGAGAGATTTTGTCTTTAGGCCAAATAAATAATATTGGTTTTGATATAAATGTGGAATTTAAACTTTTAACATCTTAATGACAAAAAAGACCAAAATATATGGGAATTGGAAGTCAAAATTAAATTAACTATATATAAAACTAATTAATTAAAGTAAGTAAAGAAATGAAAGGGGTGCAGTAAATACATGATGGTGGAATTAAGGATTTGGCACATGAATATGATCACCATTCCAAATAGCAATGGTCTCTCTTTCGGATGAATCTGAGCTGGGGGTTCATTGGTTGAATCCTTAATTGATGTTACAAAATTAAATAACCGCCTTTATAATTTATGTATCAAAATGCAATCTTTTAATCCAGACGTCGTCTTACATTATTGTCTTAATCATCCATCTTCTTTAAATTTCATAAAAGAATTTCAAAAATGGAAATAATAGAGTACGTACATGGAGATTTCAATTCATTTGCCATTGCCATTGCCATTGCCATTTGCCTTTTGCATGGAGATTCAGCGTCCCTTTTTACTTGCATGGGATCTTTCCAGATGAGGAAATGCACTCAAAATGTTATGGGCTCTCAAGTCCTGCCTCGTCAAGATTCCAACCACCGGCGGCACCTGCAAGGAGGAGCATATATATATATATATATATATAGATATCAATCCTATGGTCTAAAAACATGTACACCATCATTATTATTTATTATTTAATACGAAACTGGTCTCAGTTTTGGCATTTGTACATGTTTTGAGGGTTTGAAAACTTACTGTAGGGCCATGGTACTTTGGTAAGATGAGCATGTGGCGGAGTCCCACCTGCCTGAATTGCACCAAAGCCTTGGCAACAGACATGGTCTCCACCACTGTATACGGAGTGGTGTTGGTAAGTGGATGCAAATCCACATACATTTCCATTTCTTCTTTTGTGACCGCCACATCCTCAATCGTTCCCCACCTTTCCGCCACATCAACCCACGTAAATTTTTCTCGAACTTCCCACTCCTCTGTTCTCCTCCTCTCTTGCAGGAACCATTTCTTCTTTAGCACTAGTAAAAGGTGAGCTCTTAAAACAAGTCCATGCACTTCACTTACCTGACCCACTGCCGGCACCACTTGATTGTCTACAACAGCAAAAGCATTGTGGCTCGTGTTTCTCAAAACATCCACTATGTTGCTCACTTTCTCAATTCCACAGAGGGTGACTACTGGAGGCTTCACGTCCGCTAGTTCACCAACAGTTATATTTCTCATCCATGGCTCAGGGTGGGCTTCCAAGAAAGGTAACCCTTTAAGATCTAATATGATCTCATAGATGCTTGGATTGAAGCAGTCCCCAACACTTTTGGATATTAGAAGGACTAACATTGTTATGGGGAGCAAAAGAAGATTGTTGGTTAACTCAAGAAATATTACACAAAGGGAAACTGTCATCCTCATTGAGCCTGCCATCAAGGAAGCCGCACCTAAAACAGCATATAGACCTTGGTCAATGGTTGTATAGGGCCCCATTGCCATACCAAGCAACCGGCCGTAAGCTGAGCCTATGAGGATGATAGGGAGGAAGAGACCGGAGGGAACTGCAATGCCGAACGTGAAGAGTCCCAATATGCAATAAAGTAGAAAGAAAATGACTAGGGAAAATACGCGGTATTCACTGGGAGTGTTGGTGGAGAAGATGTTGCGTACAGCATCATCATTGGTAGTAAGGAGGAGCGTCGCTAGGTCGTTGTAGTGTCCTTTCGGGCAGTTAAACTGTTTGAAGTTCCCCATCCTTCCTGTAGATGGACACTCGGAATCTACAAGAGATGGATCGCACGGAGTGCAGCTGGCGAGGAATGGGAGTCCATATAAGCATGCAGAGGTGAAGAGTGAGACAGCGAGACTGAGCATAATTTTGGCGAATTTCCCTTTGCTGCGAGATTAAATGACAGTTTTAGGAAGGTGTATGCGTTTCAATAATTAGTGCACAAATTTGGCTATCATGAACTGAAAGTTATAAAGGCTTACTCATTAATGAGATTGTAGAGACGAAGGACCTTGTGAAGGAGGTGGTTGTAAAGGCTTCCTAAAACTCCTCCGATGATTCCAATTACGGTGACAGGGATGAGATCAACAACATGGTACCTCACTGAAACGCCACTGACGTCAAACATGATTAGCCCACCTTGTCCAAAGAGTCCGCAGTCTCCGGCTTTGCAGTACTCCATGAAAGCTCTAAGCACAACCACCACAACTGCTGTGCTGAAAAAAGTTCTCCAGAGAAGAGCACTTCTCCACCATGTTGCAACCTCCTCAAGTGCAAACAAGACACCTCCCACAGGAGACCGAAAAGCAGCACATACCCCTGAGGAGGCTCCACAAGTGATGATATCTCGTCGATCACGATCATTGTTGAAGTAACGGATGCAGCGCCATCTGATCCGGTAATTGTCGGGTCCACCTTGACCTAGTAATGAAGCAATGCAGGCGCCAATGTGAACCAAAGGCCCTTCTTTCCCTAGGTCCAGGCCTGCTGCTACAGCTCCTATGCTTCCAATTATCTGTAATTTCAAGATTCAGATGTTTTTAAGGTATGAGATGATCCTCTTTTTCCTTTCCAGTACTCCATTTACACTTACAGTGCCCCAACAATTGCAATCAACATGAAATGAAATTTTAGAATGCCTGAATTACAGTATGGTCCAATTTCTTGACATTATTAACTGACATGTAGCCTACTATAATCAAGCTGGAAAAGGAAACTTTCGAATTGAAGCTACAATACCATGGCATATTTACAATTCCAGCCAAAGTAGAAGTATATCTTGATATGAAAACACTAATGTCAACCAATTGAATTTGCTACTAGGGGTGGATCTTGAATATCATCATTATAATAGTCAATCCAAATAAAATCGGAAAGAAATATTATCAACCCTGTGATGATGTTGCCCTGTACCATTCCTGGTCATTCTTAACTGAACTTGGATAGAAGTACATTGTGTACAAGATGGACAATATGATTGTTCTTTTTCATTCTGGAATTAGGATCAACTTTAATGGTTCTACCCTGTTCATAGTAGCACACGAATTATTCTTGTGGAATGTTATGCGCACCTTAACAAACATCGGCATGGCTCCATACATGTTGGGCGTGTCTACCCCATTCAGGTAAGCTTTAATTTCAGGAATGCCAGGCCCAGCTGCAGTAGGTGCTAAAAACACAACAAGAAGAGTTGCACCCAGTGTCAACATGAAATTGACACCGGTCATGAAGAAGAACCCCATCATGTACCTGTATCCATCATGATCATGCATAAGGATACTGTTGAAATGAATTAATTCTACAAAGGATCGGATGATAATTTCTATTAAAGATATAATCCGGAGATAGAGTGAAAAGATAATGAAAAGACCTCTTTTTCTCTATGTAGTGGACTACAGCCAGTAGTTTGTATCCTGCAATGTTCTCAACTGCAAGATTGATGAGAGTGGCTACAACACCCGTTAAAAGCCCAACCAGGAAGGCTAATAGCCATTTCAGGAATATATACTGCAACACCTGTGTTTGTGATCTGCTTCTCCAGTCATGCTTGAAGAGATCATTCTCATTGATTCTGGCATTTACAAAAGATGAATAGAATAGGTTTGTTTCATAAACTTATTATAATCTGTGATGAAAGAGGCTGCTTGAACTTACTCGTAATCCAAGCTTTCGATGTAGGAAACTTTGGTGCCAACGAGCGCTAGTGGACTTGAAGAAAGGGTTAGATTTCTCTTGAGGAGGGGTCGATGGAGAGAATTGCTCTCTGGGTCTCTTTCTTGTTGATTTGTCTGTTGTTCCATGTTGCAGGTAGTCTCTGCCAATTGGTCTGAATCTTTCTCCATTTTGATCAGATGCAGTTGCAGAGATGTAGAACAGCTTGGAAGTTTGAATTCTGGCAGTACTGGTCCTCTCTCTCTCTCTCTCTCTCGCTGTGGTATTTATAGTTTGATTGAGATTTAAATCATGCATATAGTGCGTGCATCATGTGTTGTGACTTTATCGGGTAGGTTAGCTTGCACCATTCTTTTCTTTCAGATCTTGGATAAGAGCAGGGTAAGTGTGACTATAAAAAAAAAAGTGGGGTCGAGACGTATACACTAGTTGATAAACGATTTGTATCAGCATTTTGGACATATATATAAAGCAAAGTCGGGTTTTATATTAGTAGAGAGCAGTTGTAGGACATTGGCATTGGTGATATCATGATGTATTCTATGAATGCTTTTACTTGAATATATTTTAAGATTGAAAAAGAAAGCACCCATTTGTTCCTAAAGTCATGGAACAGTGGTGATTAAGACATGCAAGCCTCTTGTTAAGCTACAGACTTGGTCTTTTGAGTTGGTGGAGTTAGATTATTTGTTGGAAATGGTTTTTGAGTCCGAAAGTAATGTTAAATGTTGTTGTTGAAGATTTGGCCATTGATCCTTTATTAATTCTAGTGATTAGCATTAGCACAGTGGTTGGGTAAGATTTGTAATATGATATGATATTGGGAAAAGAAATATGAAGAAGATAAGTTGAGGAATGGGTGAAAAAGAGATATATAGATATATATATATATAGAGAGAGAGAGAGAGGAGAAGATAAAGATTATATAGACTAGTGTGATTAATGTTTGAAGATTATGTATTATGTGGTAGATTGGAGATGTGGAGTGATCGGATGGCTGGAAGAAAAACGGCTTTTGGGGTAAGCAAAAGGTGAGTTTGGATTCAGAAGAACATGTGTGCTGCTGTTGGTCCACGTGGCCTCCAAAACCTTTATTATTAATCTATATGACTATCTGTCTGTGAACCAAATGGTTGTGTGTTTGAAACATGAATTGGTAAATGTGGTGGTGATAATACTAATAATGATAATGATAATGATAGTGATATGGATATTAATTAATCAATTAATTGAAAGAGGAAAGGATGTGATGCTGCATAGCATACAACAACTAACAGAACCCTCTTTCTCTTTCTTTTCTCTTCTACCACTCCCTCACTCTCACTTCAATAATTTTCTTTAAGTAATAAAGAAACAAACAAAAATAATCATTCAACTGCTCCCTAAACTTGTATGCAAAAATAATTGTGTACATATACATATACATACATGTTTAAAGGAAGATTATGAGCATATGCTAATATCAAATTTAGATTCTAAGATTTGTTTGTTTAATATTAATAATTTCACCATCAAAAAAAAAAAAACAAATTCTATCATTCATTTATACCAAATAATTAATGGATTGTCTTTGTCTTTGTCTTGTCTTAATGCACCCAAACCCAATTATCAACTACCAAAAAGAAAAGGATTGTTCATATGTGCCTCTCAATCATCCATAATCTTATTAATTATCATTGCAAATCTTCCAATTTAATACCAGTTTTATTTATTTTTTAATTATTTCATATATATGGTAAATGGTAAATGGTAAATGGTAAGGCAGGTATTGTGTTTATGGAGGAGTATGTTTGCATAAATGAATGGAGATGATGGGAAGGGAGGGGAGGGGAGGGGAGGGGCTTGTTATTGTTTTTATGGTGTGAAATATGTTAATTGCAAGTAGGCCACTTGAATCAAATCACATGATGACATTCTTTTTATATATAACGGGAATGGGAAGATGATTCATCATCATCATAGTATTATTATTATTTTTGTTTAAACTTGATTCACATGCACATTTGTTTTATGCTGATTACAGTTTTCTATTACTATTAGTTAGTTAGTGTGTGTGTGTGTGTCATCAAAATGGAAAGAATAAAAGCCATGTGTTTATGGTTTATCTTCCAAAAATATTTACTATAATCATTACCCATCTCCAAATATCTAAATTCTTCAATTAACAAAACTTATGGTAACAAATAAATAACCATTACCTACCTAATTTATCATGAAATTTTCTTTATTACTAAATCATCAACTTGTGTATACATCAATCAATCGCTTAATTCCTATTCCCATCTTAATATAAAAAGAAATGTTTGTAATTTTCATATGATGGGCCTGTAGTTGTTGGCCCAAGCTTTCATGGTTTATTTGGTCCGGTCCAGTCCATACTTGTTTTTCCTTTCTCTGCTCTTCTCTTCTCTTCTCGTCTCTTCTCTTCTCTTCTCTCTTACAAATTTCTAATACTCTTTGTCTGTCTGGACTCTGGACTCTGGAATCTGTATTCTGGAACAAGTGGAAACCGGAAAGCAAGAGCAAAAGGGGAGATCCAAAACGCAACTCCTACCTTCCAATTCAATCTTCCAGTTCAAGGGTAGGCTTCGTCTTCTATTCATCGTTTCTGCTTTTATTAACCTTTTACAGGGTAATACCTTTCCATAACTAATTCTCTATCCTTCTACTTTGATTTTCCTTTTCCATATTCCAATTTTTATCTTGTGAACTCCTTAGGCCATTATTCCATCTTTCACTTTTCCAATTTGGGTTTTTTGAGCTGTTTCTGCATCTGTATGAATTAGGGTTTTATACCAAGCCACTCATGTCTGTCAATAACAACAATTCCCAAAAGAACCCTGCTGCCTTTGGAAATTCCTTCCCCCCCAACCCTACTCCCCACCTCCAGTCACACTCCCAACCCTCTGCTTCTCCCTTTGCCACTCAGTTTCAGCTCTCCCAGTATGCTGCTGCCCATGCCCATGCCCAGGCCATAGCTCAAGCTCAGTCCAAAGCTCAGGCTCAAGCCATGGCCAACCACGTCCAATTCCAAGCCCAGCTCCAGGCACAAGGAATGTCTCTTAATCAATCACATGCACCTTTCTCTGCCAATTCCCCCTCTTTTCCCAATTCCACCATCAAACGTTTGCCTCAAAAGCCTCTTGGAAGACCGCCTGGCATGTCCAGTGCAAATACCATCTCTCCCATGAGGATGATGGAACTTACACCAGCCGCACGTAATAAAAAGAAGCAGAAGCTCCCAGAGAAGCACTTGCTTGAGAGAGTCGCAGCAATTCTGCCACAGTCTGCTCTTTACACACAACTCCTTGAGTTCGAGTCACGTGTCGATGCTGCTTTGGCAAGAAAGAAGATAGACATCCAAGAAGCAATTAAGAATCCTCCTTGCATTCAGAAGACGCTTAGAATATATGTGTTCAACACTTTTGTGAATCAAACTCGTACAACTCCCATGAAGCCCAACGATGACCCACCTACTTGGACCATGAAAATAATAGGCCGAATCTTGGAAGAGGGGATGGATCCTGATCAGGTAGGGATGATGCCGGCCCCAAGCCCCATGTACCCCAAATTTTCGTCTTTCTTCAAGAGAGTCACCATTTCGTTGGACCAGAGATTATATCCTGATAATCATATGATTTTGTGGGATGGTGCTAGAACACCGACACCTCAACAAGGGTTTGAAGTGAAAAGGAAAGGGGACAAAGAATTTACTGCCAACATACGGTTGGAAATGAATTATATGCCTGAGAAATACAAGCTTTCTTTAGCTCTAATGGAAGTCCTTGGAATTGAGGTCGATACTCGCTCGAGAATTATTGCTGCAATATGGCATTATGTCAAGGCTAGGAAGTTGCAGAATGCAGACGACCCTTCCTATTTTATCTGCGATCCAGCGCTTCGAAAAGTATTTGGGGAGGATAGGATGAAATTCACCATGGTCTCACAGAAGATTTCACATCATTTATCTCCACCACAGCCTATCCATTTGGAGCACAGGATCAAGCTCTCGGGGAATAGTCCAGCTGGAAATGCATGTTACGATGTGTTGGTGGATGTCCCTTTTCCAGTACAAAGGGAATTGAATGCTTTACTGGCCACCACTGAGAAAACCAAAGAGATTGAAGCCTGTGATGAAGCAATATTTAGTTCAATACGGAAGATCAATGAACATCGTAAAAGACGGGCTTTCTTTCTTGGATTTAGTCAGTCACCTGTCGAGTTTATCGATGCTTTGATTGAATCTCAAGGAAAGGATCTGAAGCTTATGGCAGGGGTAGCAAGCCGTAACGCTGAAAAAGAGCATCGGGCTGAATTTTATAATCAACCCTGGTACGTGCACCATTGTTTTCTGCTTTCATGTTTGTTGGTTTTCTAGGGGATTTCTTTTCGTAATGTCAAACTAGCTCAGTCCATGTATACGTGCGATGGATGTTTACTGAATCATCATGACACATTTTATATTGTTTGCAAGATGAATCATCTTGTTTATGTGCTTTACGGCATGTTTTTAGGTTTGACGTTCATGGCCAGGGTACTGAAAGTTTGGTAATCTTGAACTTAGTCACATTGGTACTACCTCATATCAACTGCAATATTTGTTGGTGCTTGTATGTTTTGAATGGTGGTGTTAGAAGTCCAATATTCCTTTCCTAGTTACAGTTGACATGCTTGCATTCCTACATGAGTCGTTTGTTGAGCAATCAAAAGTTTAGATGTATTTACTGTGGAAGCTTGATACAGTTATGTTTTTTGGTGGATGTATAGGGTTGAAGATGCGGTTATTCGTTACCTGAATCGGAAGCCAGCAACAGTTATCCATGGAAGCACATAAACATTTGGCAGTGATTAGATATGATGTTGAATTGGATGAGAGGAGAGGGGTATAATGTTATTGGTGATGTTTAGGTTTAATTGTATCCTATGGTTTGTTGTTGTTGTTGTTGTTGTTGTTAGCAGCATAACTTAACCCATAAATATAATATGAAGTTATTGTATCCTTTATTTGTGGATTGATGTTGCCTGCCAATAATCTATGAAACCGAAATTAAAGAGAAAAGATGCTCAATTTTGGTGTTTGTTTGGAATTGGATGACATAATTTGCATCTACCGTGAATGATCAATTTGTCTTTCTATATATATAGTTTCTATCTCATGGTTGTCTCCTCTTATTATTAATATTATAATTATAGAGAGAGAGAAAAACAACACAACTCTGTAGCTTCAACTCCCTTACATTTGGTTTTGCAAGATGGTTTTAAGCTATATATCTATACTACCTTATTAAACAAATTTGATCAAAATCTTTAAGTCTTTAACTTTTGAAATACCGAAAATACCCTTAATCCTCCTTTACACGCCTCCCTTCCCTTCCCCCAATATGTCTCTTCGATTTACAAGGCTCTCCTCCCCCAAGAACACTCCTCCCTTATCAGCTCCCGAGACGACGCTTC